ATGTTTTGGGAAATTACACAAACTGGTATAACGGTTTAATTCGGTTTTATGCTTAATATTAAATCCTGGACCTCCACGATATGCACATGCTTTAGGACAAAACTGATGTATATCTTGTCGAACAATTAGTCGAAATCTTCTAGCTGAAGTAAGAGTTGTAGAGTTGGTATAATCTGCATTTGAATGTTCATTAAAGTCCAGCAACCCTGTACAGTAATACATCATAAATTGTATTCTTGTATATGATCGATTAGGGATTAAATATTCATAAAAATATTTGTTTATTTCATGAGTTTGTAATTTTAATTTATGAAGTTTTATTAAAGTTTGATAAAATTTATAATGAAAATTGTCTGTTCTCAAATGATTATTGTTAATGAGTTTTTGATATTCATTTATATTGGTATACAATTCGATTAATTTGCTTTTTCCATGACTTTCTGGTGGTATAATGATGGTATTTTGTTCTGTCCCAAATTGACCAGGTGAATAACCAGCTCTATTTATATACTGATACTGTATTGGTATGTCATACAGAATGTTAAAGTAAATGAAATCCTCTGCTTCATCGGTAGATTTGAAACTAAATGAAATGGTCCGGTATAAAATTACGATGCATATTAAGTTTAATAGCTGAAAGTTGAAATCAAGACAATCGGTATTATTTTAACTGGATGAATATTGAGTAAGTGGTAACTTTTAGAACCATTTTACAGATTACTATTGAATAACTGGTTTGTAACATACCCACATTTGCTTTATTTTAAGTTCCTATTAGATTCATTGACTATTACTATCCGTTTAAGCATCCTTTCAATTTTTTCAAATCATTTACAGCTTACTATATTCTCTCATTTCTGGATTATTTGTGTAGAAACTATGACTTTTTATTTATTATATAATGTGATTTGGCAATGTACATATATGAGTGCCTGAAATATAATAATATAGGAAGGTGTGTCTCTGGTGGATCAATAGGTGTCAAGATTATCTCGTCATTGTTGAAAGTTAATTGCTGTCAATCGAAGTGCTTAATCGGCTAACCTTCGTCTTCAGGTGAAAAAGTATGCTCGGATTAGAGAATCATTGAATCCCTACTAATTATCGGTCAAAAAATGTGTGAGAAAACCAGGATCACAATGCACGTCTTTATAAAATATTTTCTGGTTTGAGATTAGCATTTATTGTCTATGATGAAATACTGCTCCCACAAGGTTAAGATTTGCAGGTATCTGATATTTTTTTCGCCGGGGTTTCATGTTCGCAGAAGCTTACATCTAACACCTCATGGGTCGAGATCAATAAATTTTCTGAATATTGTCATTGTACTTTAAGTGGCTTACGAAAGTGGTGAAACTGACTTGGTTGACCAATGGAAAATCAAGACTGAGACGCTCAGTTATATATCATGTAGTAATGCATGATCCACCTATTTTAACTATAATACAAAGTCATGGCAGTTAGGTCACCTTACGGTATTTTTGAATTTCGCGGAACCCCATGCAGAACAAAAAGTGTCACTCAAATGTTTTTGCTACGTCAGTTTTTCAAATGTACTGTCAAGATAGCCCTTTCTCAGAACAAAAAATATTGCATTTATTATCGGTATTCAGTTACGTCGGGTTGTTTAATGATCTGACACTCGCATACGAGCACACTGAAGATAAATTAGTTGTGCAGATAAGAGACGTTTTCACTGAGTTTTAACATCGAAGTTTACTAGGTATTGAAAATTTAACTTGGGGTATAGGTCAGAAGAAATTGCATTCATATTTACGTCCTTGATAAGCTCGGACAAACCACGAACATTAAGATTGATAGAAATACTCTATACACTAAGCGTATTTAAGCATTAATATCAATGAATACAATACTAATGTTTAATGACAATTTTAATTTTATTTATTTATTTGACGTTAATGGTATATTTCTTAACGCTGAATAGTGATGATTGGGTTTAAATTGATTTTATTTTAAGAATCTGGTATATTTTAAGCAATTATAACTTACAACCACATAAAATTGTTTCACAGATTACTTACATAACAACGTGACTAAGTTATCATGTAATATATAACACATAAAACCCAACGCATTGGCCCAATTTTGTCAAGTTTGATAATGAACAAGTGATCTAGTATAGATTAGTAACTGGTTTTAAAAAAAGTAATTTCTACGACGTGTTATTGAGTCAAAGCGAATAATCAAGCCAGTCAGGTAGGATTTAGCTATTCTACAAATATTTATTGCAAGATGAATAGGTATCATAACAAGACAATAACATTTTTACCAACAGTGTTGATAATTCGAATCAACTTACCTTCATACAGTTTATTCTGAAGAGAAGTGGTCTTAAATAAAGTTAAGAAGGAATACAGAAGAGACAGTGTAGTGAAGAATAGCCAATTAAATGAAAGTTAATACCGCAAGTCGAATTCAACCAATATTAGCTTAATTATACCTTCAATCTATCTATTATTTACATATACATGTATTAGAGTTTAAAAATAATTGATCAGTCAGAATACTTTGTCGATAATAATAACAACTACATGAAAATGTATAGACAGGCCGATCTGAGGTGAAACGCAGCATATAGAGCATCCTTTCAATTAGCTATTAATTATATTAGCTTCAAATATACGACAAGTCTTACAAGTTCTGAAACATAAAGCAACTGCGATTTTTACTTAAGAGTGACGTATAACTATTTTATTCAGTAGTGTCATAAGCCTAAAGATGTTCGTTTGAATAATCCTTGTTTTCAAACAAATTACTGATACTCGTTTTATTTCTCTAGTCACAAGTGACTTGAATTGGTGTAATGAAGTAAACATTTAAAGATCCTTTTTCTCCAGCAAAATACTTCTCAATAAATACAGTTATTACGGCCTTATTCAGTTCCAAACCCCTAGTGTTATGCAACTTGACTGACGGACTTAGTAAACACAGTGACATTACTTGGATTATTTCCACTATCAAATAAGCGGATGAATAAGCACTGAACAACATAGCTTGTGTGAAAAAACAGTCAACAGTGATTTCTCAAGCTTATTTCAGTAGAACATTAGGTAAGTTCATAAACAATTTTTAACACATGATGGGAAGTAAAATCTAGTTCACCAGATGAATATCTATGAACTGCATATTTCCTAAATAATACATTTTACACTAATATTTTATTTAACAGCCAATTGGAAAATAAAAACGGTTATGCCTCATTAGTATATTTACACAAACTAAATTCGAATTCTCTGGTGAGAGGTCAGTTTACACCATCAGTTCGTAGATATTCAGCTGGTCAAACGAGTGGGTATATTTATGAATAGCTTAGTATTTCTGTTCCAAAACTATTACAGTTTCCCGGTCAGTTGGTAATTGCGTCAAAATACATTCTGAATAATTCAAATGATGTATATCTCTCATTCATACTTATTCAGTCAGTTCAAGTCTTAAATTTTAACACGTAGTAATTTACTCTGTATTACGTACATCAAATGATTCCTTTGAGAGAACAGGTGGCAAATTTTAATGACTATGTAAGAACACAATGGAATGAAGGATAAGAAGTAAACTCAGTGACCAAGTTCTGACTTCTTTTCCATTATTTTGAATATCAGTTTCTGAATTTAGTGAAAGATAAGTTTTGCTAACTAGATCCTGACACCCATTTATTTGGGTCATTTTTATTCGTTTGAGTCATAGTCACCAGTTAAAGTCAATTTAAATAATAAATACATCAAGATCCGTCAGACCATCAATCAAAAAGGATTTTCTGAATTTCCCACTTATCTCAACTAGAGCATTCGGAAATGTGTCAATCATTTAAAGTACATACCTTTACAGTTGTCTGCCTTAAGTTGGTTCGATTTTATTAAGTTATTTTATAGATTGAGTCAAAAATAATCACGTACTATATCAGCACGAAAACGACATTACTAACTTTTATTTATTTATTTTAACACATAAGTATTGGTACAAGGAGGCACAAAATACATATGCGCCACACAGATCACAATTGATTTGTGTGAGGGCTGTGGTACTGCCTGGGTGCCCAAACCGAAGCAGGTGGTTTTCTTAGGGGGCCACACCCCGAGCCTTCGACCTGGACGTCTGACCCACAAGGCAGTGGAGCATCGTGAGGAGATGTAGTCCCATGGTAGCCAGTGACCAACGATTGGTTCATACTCCATTTGTTTCTTCAGGATACTGGAGCCCATGTGCACCATTGGTTTGGGGTCCGGTTAAAGCGCCGGACATTCGCTTTTCGTCCTCTCATTTTTGTAAACAACACCCCCGCCTTTTACATCATTAACTTGTGATGACAGAAATTTTTGAATTTGATCCGCTTATTCTATTTCATAACAAGTCACATATCATTCCGCATAATTTATGAGCGGTACGTTTAAGTGGAACTCTTTAGCCTTTATTATTGTCAGACGAGTTTTTCCCGAAGCAACAAGCAGAATAATAATAATAACTTATAACTATTGATACGTAAAGAACTACTTTGATTAGTAATACGATTCTGGTAGACTATTTCTCGAAATTTTAAAACACTACATAAGAGCAGTTCTCTTTTCACGTACTGAAGCTTAATGTGTGGAAGGTTTATTCTTAAAAGAAACATTGTATGTAATCGCCTTTCACCTCCGCAATGATACAAGAAATATATGACACGTTCAGTAGTTAAATAATAGGAGTATTACAAAATGCTAATTGATGTTCGGAAAAATGATTACACTAAAATAAGATCAAGCTAACCGATATAAATCACTACTGGTACTACGTTTTCGTAATCTTCCTAGAAAGTTTAACACTTAAGATATTTGCACTTTTGCAGTATAGCCAATGCCAAATGAAAAAAATATTGGAAACAAAAGAAATAAATATGGGTAATCATATATTGTCATAGATAGAAAAGTTTACTTTACATTTTAATAAAGAGAAAACAGATAAATATCTGAACAAAATGCTGAAATTTAGAGAAAAACATTTATTTATTTAGTCTTTACAACTAATTTCTCGACTAAATCTGTCGTTCGAGACGCAAGTCCACGAACATCATCTAAAAGACCCGCTTGAGCCATAGCCGTGTCATATAAATGATTCAAGACAGAAATTGCTAGAGAATAATCTCCACTATGTTCAGAATCTTTGGAAGCATGAACTAAATTATACAGATATCGAACTAGTTCATGTTCTGGATTAAGTTCTAGAATTGGTTCAATAACACGATATCTTTCTTCAGCAGGTCTATCAGCCAAAGATGTTCTCAAAAAATGTCTCATTGCTCCAGCTTCACGAACAGAAACAAAGCATGGATGAGTACTCAACCTCTGTGTAACCTGAATAATGGAAAACAAATGTGATATTTATTTGTCAGAGAAATAGATAAAATAATTAAGCAACATCAATGTACAGGATGACTTGATTTTGATGAAAACTATTGATGTAAAAACATAAAACTATTAACTAAACTATAACGACTCTTAGATTTGGTGATCTAAGAACCGTACGAAAACCATACATTATATGACAGCAGTAGGGTAAATTGGAAATCCAATACCCAAACGACGAGTAGACAATATATTAAAATAAAATTTGTGGTTTTGTTTTTTTATCGAAAAATCACTGATACACTTTTACGTAGCAAACTGGGATAGTAGTCAATATAAAAGATCTCCCAACGATGTAACTGCTGTTCTATTATTGTTTGGTTCAAGAACAAACAAAATTGCTGATAAATCTTTTGTGACCGAATCAAACAGATTTGGAATAACACATCTGTAATATTAACTTCCAAAGACACATTCAGCTGTTAAGATTTTCTTCTAGAGCGCGAAATGTGGAGAAATATCCTTCCACGGTGTGGGCAACCGGGAAATGATATCATCTCTCATACACGTAACAACACATGAGACCAAGTTGGTCACATTCAAATCCTTCCTACACCTCCTAATAACTCTCTTATTTCCACGATTAATCCTTCTTACGTCCCTTTATCAGTAAAAACGATTCGAGTACGCGGAATGTTATTCCTGGTCTCCTGAAACCACGCTCCAAACTACAAGTAGGAGCTTTCAACATCCGAACACTGTGCCAAAACAGGCTTCCTTAGCTAAGACTTTAGAATCTCGCTCCATCGATGTGTGCTGCGTCTCCGAAACGCGCACACAGGATCCTAGTAGTGTCATTCATTTGACCGCACCATGTCAAAGTAACGAACCAACTCGATTTACGCTTCGTGAATCTGGAAGCCCTGATGCTGCTTCCCGTGGCCTCGCTGGTGTAGGTATAATATTGAGTCCTAGGGCAGAACTAGCTCTCTTAGACTGGATCCCTGTAGACAGTCGTTTGTGTGCTGCCCGACTAAACGGAACAGTAAGGACTCGGAAAGATAGGGACACTCGTCGTTGCCTCTTTGTCGTCTCTGCCAACTCTCCCACTGACTGAAGCTCAGATGATGTAAAGGATGAGTTTTATAGAAAGCTTTCCGACCTTCTCCGAAAAGCTAGGCGTTCAGATGTAGTAATAGTGGTTGGCGACTTTAATACTCAAGTAAGATAAACCATAAGGTTAGGGAGAAATACTGGATCCCAGCAGCATTTACTGCACTGATAGATGCTCGAATATTTATCGCAACTGCATCTGAACATGACAAAGAGAGGAGTCAGCTTAAGCACAAACTGATAAGAAGCCTACGCAATAATCGCGAACAGTGGTGGGTAGCGAAGGAATAGGTTGGAAGAAAGTTAGGAGCGGCCAGACCAAAACATGGCACAAATCTACGAAGCCACTGACAATTGGATTGAGCCATGTCGATATGTGTAGACTACCTGGTTGGGGTACGCGAGATGAAAGCAACCGATGGTTAGAGACCTTGAATGACATGGCTCAAAATCGTTTGAAATGGCACAGATGCATTCAATCTTTGGTTCTCCCAAATTCTAATCTTCTGAATCCTTCATGTCCCTTTTTTCTTCTTTCCAAATTTATTTTACTGGATCATACTACTTGACTAACATCTTCAAACCCTAATCTTTCCGATTACTGCTTATACTCTTATTACATCTACTACTATGGGATTTGAATCGGTAATTGTATCTCTGTACTAATATGGTATGGCAACCCGAACTGATGTACATACGTACAAAGTCCTACGTTATTGCCGACATGAATATGGAGAGTTGGGCATAGAGTTAGCAATCCCATCCGGTAAAATACAACCCTTTTAAATAAAAGCGCTAACCAGAAAACATCATTTAAACCATTTAAACTTTGCCCTGGGAGTTAAAGGATCTTCATTCAGAAGAGTGATGACACCTCTCTTATTGAAAGCCAACATTCTTCAGAAGCCACGAGGCCGATGTTCCTTCTAGCATTCAGAGCAACAATTATCATAGGCACATTGAATGTCCGGATAATGTGGAAGACCGGGAGAATCAGACAAACAGCTGCGGAAATGAGAATGATACTCACTGGATGCAAGCTTGATGGCAAGATAAGATTCGAGGGAAGTGTTATTATTCTCTACTTATGAAAAATATGCTTTTGACACACAAGGAGTGCCACTGATGCTATCCAAAGAAGCATGAAGAGCGCTTATACATAGGGAGTCTCAAGGCTCCAGAATCTTCAAATTCTTCAAAACAAAACAGGGAATTACAATGAACGTCATCTAGTGTTATGCACCTACCAATGATAAAAACGACGACGATAAGGATCAGAATAATGAGGGACTGTATTCAATAGTAGCAAAGTGCCCCAGAAAGAACCTAACCATCCCGAAGGAAGACCTAAATCCCAATGTCGGAATGGACAACGCAGGGTATCAAGATATCATGGGACGACATGGAGTGACTGGGAGAAAGGAACAAGAATGGTGACAGGTTCGCAAATTTATGTGCATTCAAAAAGATGGTCATGGGTGACACAATCTTCCCTCACACACGCATACACAAAGACATATGAGTCTTACTGGTATGGCCAAGAGCGGGGAGGGTTCGCCCTCCCTCTCGAAATACTCTCACACGGCCACGCGTATACAGCCTCTGCCAGGGAAGTCCTACTCACTGCCTTCTCGTGGCGGGGATGTTGTTTACGAAAATGAGAGGACGAAAAGCGAACGTCCGGCGCTATAACCGGATCCCAATTCTATGGTGCACATGGGCTCCAGTATCCTGCGGGAACAAATGGCGTATGAACCAACTTTTGGTCACCGGCTTCCATAGGACTGCATCTCCTCACGATGCTCCACTGCCTTGTGGACTAGACCTTTAGGTCAAAGGCTCGGGGTGTGGCCCCCTACGAAAACCACCTGCTTCGGTCTGGGCACCCGGACAGTATCTCAGCCCACACACTAAAACTATGATGAACTATCTGCTTATAGAAAATATTCGTTTTTCTCCGACTAACATTGAAATGACTGGTATTATTATTATTATTATTATTTACTACGTCATTTATTCACTATCTCCTATTTCTACTTTTTGTATGCGCTTCGACTCAGACAGCAGATCGCCTATGGTGAAAATTCAGCTTTATCTAAACGTTCTCGAATCACTGCCTGGTTGAAAATTGTATGTTACTACCGAATATGAGTACTGAAGCAGTTTTTCTGAAACCACGTGCACCATTCAAACTGGCTACCTTCAACGTTCGCACACTTATGCAGATCGGACAACAGATAAGGCTGGCTATGTCTTTGGAAAGTCTTAATATTGATGTGTGTTGTCTATCCGAGACCCGTATTCAAGACTCTGGTGAAGTACTACAAGTTCGCTCTCCATCTGTCACTTCAAAAAGCTTGTTTTCATGTGCGTTTATCCGGGGATCCTGTGGCATCTTCGTCTGGTCTTGCTGGCGTTGGTGTCGCACTAAGCGCTAGAGCTGAGGCTGCACTAGTCGACTGGATCCCCATTAACAGTCGGCTATGTGCTGTTAGATTAGAAAGTTCCATCAAAGTGAGAAGAAATCGGCGTGAGAAACTATGTCTTTTCGTCATCTCCGCCTATGCCCCGACAGATTGCAGCCCGGATGCAATCAAGGACGAGTTCTACCATCAGCTAACTGTTCTTCTCCAGAAAGTGCGTTCGACAGATATTGTAGTACTAGCTGGAGACTTGAATGCTCAGGTCGGGCGTCTAGGCACAGAAGAGAGTCGTTTAGGTGGCCGATGGAGACTTGTTGGTCGCAGGACAGATAACGGGGAACGTCTACTGCAACTATGCACAGACCACAACCTGTTTCTGGCTAGCACTAACTTTCGGCACAGTCATCGCCGATGTGCCACCTGGCGTCCCCCTTCTGCATCTCAAGCCTGGACTCAGATTGATCAGATCGCGATCAGCTACCGCTGGCGCGGTTGTGTACAAGACTGCCGCTCCTTTTGGAGTACCTATCTGGAATCTGATCTTACCCTGGTCTGCGCCAATCTTACCTTACTTTTCAGTGGACAACGAAGTGACCGCCACCACAGGATTGATGTTAGCAAGCTGGCTGCAACTTCTGTTGCTAGTAAGTACCGAACCGAGCTAGCTTCTAGGCTAGCTACCATTCCACCGAAAAGTATAGATGAGCATTGGTTGCAATTGCATGACGCCATGAAATTGGCGGGTACAGTCTGTTGTGGGTTTGCGAAACGTACCGCTTACAAGCACTGGGTTTCTTCTGGTTCCTTAAAACTGATTGAAGCCCGTCGGTCTACTCCGGGTGACCGTGAGTTTGACCACAGACGAAGGATGTTACGTAATGAAATCGGGCAAAGCTTGCGTAAGGACCGAGAAACCTGGTGGTCGGAGCGTGCTAACGAGCTGGAAGCAGCAGCTGCATCTGGTAATTACCGGAAGCTCTTCCAGCTCATCCGAGCCACTGGCAGCAAGAAGTCTGGTGTGAGCGAAACAATCTGCGAGGATGACGGAACGCCAATCACTAACATCCATCGACGTCTTGGACGATGGGCAGAATTTTTCGAAGGGCAGTTCAACTGGCCTGTTGCTCCGGCAACATCGGTCAGACTGTCCTGCCCTCCATGGCCGGTGACGACTGATCCACCAAATGAGGCGGAAGTCCGCAAGGAACTCCAACTCTTGAAACGTTACAAATCACCAGGCCCAGACGACATACCTCCGGCTCTTTTTAAAGATGGTGGTGACTTTCTGGCTAAGGAACTGACGACGTTGTTTGCAAAGGTCTGTAAACTAGAGAGTGTACCAACGTCATGGAATGGGTCGATAGTTGTCCCTATCTTTAAAAAGGGTTCACGTCGTTCCTGTAACAACTATTGGGGGATAAGTCTACTCTCGACTGCGTCCAAGCTATTGGCTTCCGTTATACTTCGTAGGTTGTTCAAACCCGAGAAGGATTGACTCGCGAGGAGCAGGCTGGGTTTCGTTCTGGTCGAGGATGTATTGATCATATCTTCACCCTCCGCCAAGTGTTAGAACACCGCCATACTTATCAAAGGCCAACAATCGTAGTGTTTCTTGATATCAGGGCTGCCTTCTATTCGTTGGACAGAACTGTTCTCTGGGGTTGTCTATTGAAGAAGGGTGTGTCTGAGAAGTTTATTAACATCCTAAAAGCCCTATACACAAACACCTCAGGCAGAGTGAGGGCATACAACCACCTTTCTCCACTATTTCCATTCAAGCAGTGGGGTTAGACAGGGTTGCCCAATCTCACCATTCCTCTTCAACTTTGCCATCGATAACATTCTGGAAACAGCTCTGATGGATGTAAGTAATGGTGGTGTGGATCTGTTGCCTGGAGAAAGACTTCTCGACCTTGAGTATGCGGATGATATTGTCTTACTGTGCGAGAATGCCCAAGCCATGCAATCCGCACTTAATCAGTTGGCAATCAGTGTCCGTAGGTATGGTATGTGCTTTGCACCTTCGAAGTGCAAAGTACTTCTACAAGACTGGCAGGATTCTAATCCTGTACTCACTCTGGATGGCGAGCAGATAGAAGTAGTCGAGAAGTTCGTGTATCTAGGTAGCTGCATAAGTGCTGGTGGTGGCGTGAGTGATGAGATCAATGCACGTATAGTGAAAGCCAGAGCGGCTTATGCCAATCTGGGCCATCTTTGGCGCCTTTGTGATGTTAGTCTGGCTGTAAAAGGTCGGATCTACGACGCGTCGGTGAGAGCAGTTTTGCTTCATGCTTGTGAAACCTGGCCTCTCCGAGTTGAGGATGTTAGACGACTCTTTGTGTTCGATCATCACTGTCTTCGAAGGATTGCTAACATCCAGTGGCAACACCATGTTAGTAATACAGAGGTTCGACATCGTGTGTTTGGGCACAGAGACGATAATGCAATTGGTGTCACCATCTTGAAACATCGACTTCGGTGTCTTGGACATGTTCTATGAATGTCGTCCCAGAGAATTCCACGTAGTGCATTATTTGCCGACTCTGGGACAGGTTGGAAAAAGCGGAGAGGTGGTCAGTATATGACATGGTGTCGTGGTATAAAAGAAAGCTGCTAAGGGCTAGCTTCTGTTGGTCCTTCACGACTCCCTGGTTGGGGTCCGAGAGACGGTGTAACACATTGGCTAGAGACGTTATCAGATATGGCTCAGAATAGAAGCCAGTGGCGATCCTGCTGTAACCTTTTACTTTCTTCATAAAAAGTGGTTGTATCTTCCTTAACTGAAAGATCTCTTCTGATTGTACCTTTCCGTTTCCCCCACCATTGTTCTCTCTGTCTCCCTTTTTTTATAATTCCCCACGTTCATTACTTTTTTTTCTCTTTTCTCCTTCTCTTCAAATTATCATTGTTTTGTGTGGCGCATATATATTTGGTGCCCCCCTGTACCAATATTTATGTGTTCAAATAAATAAATAAATAAATAAACACTAAAGACAAAGAGATCGATCATATTTGCATCACTAAAAAATTTAGGTCAGTCAATCAAAGACGTGAGAACCAGGAGATTAGCCGACATAGCTTCAGATCAGCACTAGCTGATGGTTGACAAGATGAAACTGAAGAAACACTGAACAACTAGAGAAACAGCATTACAAAAGTTTAGTACAGAATTCCTACAAGATACTGACAAACCCAACGAATTCAAAATAGTTCTCTGAAAAAAGTTGCAAGTCTCACAAGATTTACTCACACATGGGGAAACTACTATGTAGGACAAATGGAAAGGGGTCAAAGAAGCATTAACCTCAACGTACCAAGAGGTAATGGGCCGCAAGAAGTATCATAATAAGGAATGGAGCTCTATCGTAACCCTGGACAAGATTCAAGGAAGGAAGAACAAGACGGAAATTAACAACAGTCGAACATGAATAGAGAGTCAAGACACAGACCAAATACCCAGAAGCAAACAAGCAAGTGAAAAAAAACCACTCGAGCAACGATATCAGAAAAAAATGCAACTGAATCCACCGGAAATCGATACAGCACATAAAGGCCTTCCTATACATGTCACTCTACCAACGACGGAATAAATCAGAGTGGCCATTTGACAAGTCAAGATTGGAAAAGCAGCATGAATGATAATATACCATCTGAAACACTGAAGTCACACATAAAACAACTGCAAAAATGCTCCACGTTCTATTCAGGAAGATTTGGAGGAAGAACAAGTGCCACCAACAGACTGGGAAGAATGACACCTCATCAAAATTCCAAAGAATGAAGATCTGAGCAAATATGAGAACTACAGAGGCATCACATTACTGTCAGTACCAGTAAACATTTTCAACAGTGTTGCTGAACCGGATAAAAAAACTCAGTAGACGCCTAACTTCGAGAACAACAGGCTAGATTCTGTAAGGATCGGTCGTGCACAGACTGAATTATGACACTACGGATCATCGTTGAACAGTCTATTAAATAGAACTCATCAATATACATCAACTTCCTCGACTATGAGAACATCATGGAAACTACTTCAACGCTATGGTGTACCTGAGAGATCGTCAACGTGGTTAGGAATTCATACAACGGACTACAGTACGAAGTCGTGTATAGAGGACAGCTGACAGATGCATTCCAAGTAAGGATGGAGTCAGACAAGGCTTCTTAGTCTCTCCCTTTTTCTTTTTTCTAGTGGATTATAAAGACCACATCTGACGGGGAGCAGGAAGTACTATGAACAGCTTGCATGCAACTGGACGTTTTGGACATCGTAGGTGACCTGGATCTTCTATCCCATACACACCAATAAATTTATGTAGACAACCAGTCTAGCAGAAACCTCTGTCTGCAGGAGTAGGCCTCAACACACACAAAACAAAAAGCAAGATTCTCAAATACAACATAGAGAACACCAACCCAATCACACTTCATGGAGTAGCTCTGAGAGTAGTGGAATCTTTCACTTACCTGGGAAGCATCATCAGTGAACAATGAGGACCCGATGCAGACGTAAATGCAAGGATTGGCAAAGCAAGGATAGCATTCCTACAGTCGGAGAACATTTGGAACTCAAAACACCTGTCTCTTAGCCAACACCAAAGTCAAGACGTTCCACTTTACAGAGCGGAATCATAGAGAACTACTGGAACAGGTATTTATAAACAATCGTCTACGCAATATACTCTATATCTGTTTGGCAGATCCCATCAGCAACAGCTTACTGTGGGAGAGAACAAACCAACTTCCGTCTGAATAGGAAATTAAGAAAAGAATCTGAAGGTGATTAGGACATTGTTAGCGGGACATAGATTGGACTAAACCATGATCATTGCACGCTTGCGTTGGCGCACGCTGATTGGCTAATTCTCATCCAATCAGAGCTAGTCGATGCTTGGAGAATACTCTGGAACCTTCTCATGTAAAAACTATAAATATACTCAAGTTTTTCCTACTGTGCTTCTTACTTCCATCTAACCTTGTTATTTGGAATATAATCTCTTTCCTGTTCAACCGTGTTCTTATTTGGGAACTTGTCGAGCGAATTGGTGTCCGAGATTACTAAGCAGTAGGAATAGCTGGGTTATAACCGTAAGAGAGAAATATAACAGACATACACAGTGGAAATCATCGAACTGAATCACGAGGCAAGACGTAACTTGGAATCTTGAAGGAAAAAAGAAAGGAGGAAGACCAAAGAACACATTGATCAGGGAATTCGTGGCAGACATCAAGAGAATGAATAACGATTGGAAAAGTGTATAAATTCAAGTTGTTGCAACTGATAAATGTAGGCAATATTGGTAATACCTATTCCTCTAATATGCATTATGCATAAAATATGGGAACAAGTATTTATAATGTGGTGTGAGCTATTGATGTCGACAGATATAAGTAGTACGTATCATCAATCGAAAGTGAAATTCCTGATGGCAGGAGGTTAAGAAGATCGAAAAGAAGAGAACGAGAACAGAGAATGATTGGTGTGGAAACGAAGAAACAATCAAGTCTGAGATAATTGATTGACATTTTTCAAATGAAGTATTGAGCGTATGGTTCTCAAATTTTACTACGAGATTCTGTAATTTTGTGTTCAAATACATTTGGTTATCCCCGTCTGTGTTTTCCTTCACTACGATAAGACATCACAAAAATTTTTGTGATATTTTAAAAGTTTACCTAAGTACATTTTTAATGTGAAGTGATTTTAATATGAAGCATTTATCTTATTCAATAAATTCTAAAAAATAGGTAAACTCGTAGCCTGTAAATTCAAATAAATTTTTACCAAGACTACTTATGGAATATGGACAACCAGAAAACTCCGAATGATTTAATTTACCGAAACCATCATTCTCATTATTTCTTACTTTCACTTTCTTGACTTTTGAACCAAGGACGTTTTCTGCCCATTCTACCAACTCCGATGCCTCATCCTGTTTTAAGCAATTTTGGCGTTCAGATCCAACTGAATCAGTATTTGCCATATCATCAGCAATCATATTCTCAATCGACGTCAACGTTTTTTTGTCGTATTGACTTAATTGCATAAGAACAAGTTCGTCGTACGGTTCGTACAAAAACAGGACCTGAAATTAAAATCGAACAAATCAGGCCCTGTAATTAAGTAATACAACAACACTAATGTGGTAAATTTGCAGTTTAACAGATTTTATTTAAGCTAACAATAACCCTGTTTAATATTACAATATTTTGGAGAAGTTATTAAATATAAGAATGGAAATCCGACAGGACAATATAGTTGATGTTAACAAGTAAAGAGATACTATGACAGAGATTAAACTTCTGCCTTCTTTATCTTATCACTTACTGAAGTGTGAAGTAAATAGTTAACGAATGATTCTTACATATTCCTTAGTAAGTGTTTTGTAGTGTTGTTCTTGGCTTTAGAGTGAATGGTCAAGCTAATACTTAACGATGTTAGCAAACGGATTGTACTGAACAATCCGAATAAACAACTACAATTGTCCACCAAGAATATAACGTCCCATTAGATCGTAGGAATACTAAAAGACGATGCCTGACCTGTGACTGTAAAGAAACATTACTTGTAAGATGAAATTTATGTACACTTAAACGACCGATATATATATATATATATATATATATATATATATATATATATATATATATATATATATATATATATATATATATATATATATATAAATCATCTAGATTATTTTGAGTGGTGAAACAACGGAATAAATTATCGATTAAGATTCTTTAGGATATGTTGCCGCATTTATGAAAATCTGAAATAGTGAAAAATGTCTAATGCATCGACTGACAGTTTGAAATTTTGATACCTACTTATATCAATTCATGTTGAGAAAATAAATATATATCAAGAAACTTCAAAGAGTATCTCCGAGGAATTCACTATTTTTGTCGACTAAAGACCTACACTAAAGAAAAATAATCATACGGGATAGGGTCTGATGCATATCACTTGAAACACTCTTGAAAGAAATTTTATACACTTCACTAGTATAAACAGAAATGTCTAGACCTATTTTTAAACATTTAAATAATTTCTTTATACAGTTGATGCAAACATCATAAAATGAATTCTGAATGACTTTGTTGAAATTGAAGGGCAACTGATAAGTTATTCCACACTTCTGTGAATGGTAATCAATGTCATGTTTATCATATCCTTAGTGCTGATCGTATTACATCGATCAACACCTAAATGATTATTTGTATAGAATGATAAGCAACTAATAAAGCTTAAGCATACAAACTGGTTGCACGATGGTCTTTGATATAGCCCTGAGGTTCTAAAGTGATTAATGAAAGTCCAATGTGATCAAAAAGCCAAGTTTAATGGAGTATCAACTGACCTAGGTGTTGTGCTTTACTGGAAAGCATGAAATATCATGGGTTTTTGTCATTTATCTTAATCTTTACTAGATATATAGATACATTGATATGTAAACATTACAAAAAATCCAAACACTGGAAAATTTATTAGACGTTTGGAATGTTCAGTGAAATGGAACAATATACGGCTGACAAAACGAAACGGACATTTTGGAATCCGTGGCTATTATCAAGCAATAGCATCAGTCTCTAATCAATTCCACTGATAGAGTAGTAATAAAGAAAATTGAAATACTGGAACAGAATAACTCATTTAATTATTAAAAGGGAAGAAAAATCTAAAACTTTTATTGGGAGAATGAATTGTTTATTTCCATCGAAATTAGGCGATGATGATAACAAAATATACGGTCGTTCTTTTAACATTTACATAAAATCAATACAATACAGTACTTACCTCAATATCTGGATTTTTCTTGCGGACAGCTTCCAGATATGGAGAACTCTCAGCCAGCTGTCTGTTGGGGGATGATAAAAAGTAGATATTTCTCTGACCAGGATGCATTCGGTTAGCATAATCATCCAAACAAGTAGTTTGACCAGGAGGTAAGGCAGTGGATTCCCATCGTAATAGTTTAGCTATTTCTTCGCGTAATTCTTGATCCCCCTCAATTACTAAGCCTTCTTTCAAATAAACACCATAGTCATCCAGAAAGCTAATGAATTTGTCTGTTTCCCGTGATGCTTGTTGCTGTAGAAGAGAATACAAAACAAAGTCTATAACTAGAAACTTTAAAAACTATTATATAACTGTGAAGAGTACAGTTTGAGATACTATTAGTACATGTGAACTATAATCTCTTAATGAAGTAATGAAATAAAGCTTAATGAATATACAGAACATTATGTAATGCATCTCAGTTTACTCCAATGTTTGCACTTGACACAGAGATGTTCCTTCTACTTTATTCCTCGATTTGAAAAAAATTCAATATTTCGTAATGCTGTAGATGGGAATTACGATCAGGAAATGTTTGTAATATAAGTCTTTATTTATTTGAACACATAAATATTAGTACAAATACATATGCGCCACAAATAACACTGAGGTCATGAAAATATAGAGAATGTAAAGTGAATAAAAAGGAAGAACAACAACGAACAGAAGTTAGTGTATGAGAGCGAAATAATAATAATAATAATAATAATAATAATAATAATAATAATAATAAAACAATAATAATAACAATGATAATAATAATAAAAATAGTGTTCATACGAATATTCGTCAATATTAGAACATATGGTTTGACAGAAATAGAGCACCGAGTATGTGTGAAAATTATATTTGAAATAATCTAAGCGATTGAAAATCAAATAATTTCAGTGTTCATCCAGCAAATCACAATTATTAAAGAAATGAATATTAGATTATTTCAAATATAATTTTCATATATAATGTATGATTAAGATAAATTTAAACAATTAAAATCAAAGAAGGATATTGTATGGAAGTAATCGAATTACGTCAACTATCAAAATAATAGTCAGCTGATTAGGTCGGAAGTTGGCCAAAGTAAATGGAGCGGATGAACATATCATTTTCCTGGATGCAAAGCCCCATCTTTTTCATTCAAATAGCCGTTGTTTCAGCCGTCTAAAGGGTTGTTATTCTGACGGTTTATGCGGATTGCTGTTAACACGATGAACTATTATAAGTGATTTCTACATGTTGGCTGTATGTCGTGAATGAGCTAAAATCGAATTGTTGGCAGTTTTAACTGCACTCTTGAGTAACCACACTGGGAGATGCTCGCGAGCACGAACATCTGCCAATGTAACTTTCTCCAAAAGAGCATTTGAAATGATAGATACAGAAAGAAGTAGCTAGTCTAGGTAATTTGTCTTTTAATCTCAGACTGACCATCGGGTATTTGGAAAACATTAATGTAGCTTACCTGCATAAAAGGTTCTTTGATTGCTTTTTGCAACCTTAGTATTATCATTTCGCCAAGTGCACAACCTTTAAATTGTAAGCGTATATATAGCGACTTCTTGCTCACAGTTAGGAATTCCTTATGCTTTTTTTCATGGGTAGATGTTTCTTTATAAATTTCTCCATATATCCGTTTTTTCAGAGTAGCACTGAATGACTTTGTTTCTTCTTCAACCGCATCTAGAGAGTATATGGTCTTGATTCTCAAAGTGAAGTCTTAATCATGTTCCTTTTATATTTTAGTTGTCTTGTCTAAGTTTCCCCCTAGTGACCTATGTATTCTCTTTGAAAGTAAAACATCTAGAAAGGCCATTTTCTATCTGTATAAATGGATGGACTTCATTTTATTTATTATTTATTTTAACACATAGACATTGGTACAAGGAGGCACTAAATACATATGGGCCACACATACCTCATTTGATATGTGTGAGGGCTGTGATACTGCCTGGGTGCCCAAACCGAGGCAGGTGATTTTCGTAGGGGGCCACACCCCGAGCCTTCGACCTGAAGATCTGATCCACAAGGCAGTGGAGCATCGTAAGGAGATACAGTCCCATGGTAGCCGGTGACCAAAAGTTGGTTCATACGCCATTTGTTCCCGCAGGATACTGGAGCCCATGTGCACCATAGAATTGGGATCCGGTTATAGCGCCGGACGTTCGCTTTTCGTCCTCTCATTTTCGTAAACAACATCCCCGCCACGAGAAGGCAGTGAGTAGGATGAACTCCCAAAAATACTAGTGTTGCATCTACAGTGATAGTGTCTTCCCACAACAGGTTAGTAAATGTCGACCCCAAAATGGCACGCCTCACCTTCTCTATGGATCTCCAGTGCGGTGCCAAGGACTGAGAATTACCTGGTAAAACAGCTCACATGAAGGCCGTGTGTAAATGGGCTCAAGAGACAATCTTTTGAACCCTACAATTACGATCCTATTCGATCATGATCACTATCAACCCGTTTTCCCTTTCCTGTCTCATACAATTAAGAAATCATCTCGAAATGTACAGAAAACATTTATGGTCAACTTACAGATAAAAATTTGAGGAACCTGACAGTTACCAAACGGTTGATGCGACGTATAAGTGAATTATCTTGCAGCAATTCCCTACTCAAGTTTAAGGAGATATCCTCGCTATCAACAACACCACGCAAAAAACGTAGCCATTTCGGTAAAAGTACTTCTGTACGATTCATTATCATAACCTATTAAGCAAAGAAAACAAAATAAATCAATTCAATGAAAGAAAATTGGCAATTTTTAAATAGCTAACACATGTCAGTCTGTGATGGTGTCTAGCTTGAAACCATAGAAACCTTCAGAAATAACCGACTGAGTGGACGATTTGATTTTTGGGATATTATACGCAGTGACAACTATTCGTATTACAATGACTCCATAGATTTAATATTGAATAGGTGATTCAAATTAATTTGTGAATAATGTGTATGACATACCTTCCGACTGTATAGTGCTACACCATTGTCCGAATCACGCGCCATATCAAATATACTAGGTTTCCAGTTTGGAACATATAAAAGTACTCGCAAATTTATCGGTGCGTCCGTTTTGTATGCAAAAGTGTAACGCGGACTATCGTATTTGTTACCACAAAGATACTGGTAGAATGAATTATGTTCTTCATCAGATACCTGGAGAAAAAAAGTATAACAGGAAAGCCAATAATCAAATATGAATAGTGACGTACTTCAAGACGAAACGAAAATTAATCAGCTCGAATTTACTGAATTTTTACTCTGAAAACTCTTCTGCGTGTCGAAACCGAAAAGTGAGTGATGTTGAGGTTAGAAGTAGGATACTACGTAAACATGGCAGATCGGCTGTTGTGATAGTAAACCTTGATGGACTGAGATGACTTGGACATGTAACACTTTTTCCCTACCATTGGATACTTCGACGTATAATCGGACGAATAATATGACATGTTGTCGTGGTATAAAAGAAAGCTGCTAAGGGCTAGCTTCTGTTGGTCCTTCACGACTCTCTGGCTGGGGTCCGAGAGATGGTGTAACACATTGGCTAGAGACGTTATCAGATATGGCCCAGAATAGAAGCCAGTGGCGATCCTGCTGTAACCTTTTACTTTCTTCAGAAAAATTGGTTGTATCCTCCTTAACTGAAGGATTTCTTCTGATTGTACCTTTCCGTTTCCCCCACCATTGTTCTCTCTCTCTCACTTTTTTTTTATAATTCCCCACGTTCATTACTTTTTTTTCTCTTTTCTCCTTCTCTTCAAATTATCATTGTTTTGTGTGGCGCATATATATTTGGTGCCCCCTTGTATTTATTTTATTTATTTTAACACATAGGTATTGGTACAAGGAGGCACCAAATACATATGCGCCACACGAATCTCAATTGATTTGTGTGAGGGCTGTGATACTGCCCGGGTGCCCAAACCGAAGCAGGAGTCTAATTAAGTGATTCTTGAGAACCAGCATTACAAGTAGTACAGTACTTATAGTACACAATAAATAATCCATAATTTTTTTTTGAACGCAAACGCCTCTTTCTTTGATCGCACAGGATCACGTAATTCAGCAGGCAACCTAAGAATATCTATGTCACTTATGAATTTTGCACAAAGTCTTATCTGAGTTTCTATGGCTGGATTATTACGATCTTCCCCAAACATTTTGATGAGATGTTGAGCAACTCGAGGTAATGCACTTCTTTCATTAGTATTCTTTTTAGGACGATTGATTGTTGATTTGTCTGATATTTCATCTTTCGTAGGAGCTTTCTTACCAAATTGAAATAAGGTGGACTGTTTCATTTTCTTCTTTCTACTATGCTCCAATGATTGTTTGAGTTGAGAACGATCTTTTAACTGAGCTAGAGGTAAGTTGTCTTCATTTTCTTCAAGCATCTTGGAAGTGTCGTCTTCACGTAGAACAGAAAAGCGTTTAATACGTTTAAAATTAAGTGGAGTGCTTGAGGTAACATCGTCTGATGTACCCTCTCCGTTGGACTGACGTCGTGAGTTCATAACGCGTACAAAGTATTCTTCCTCCAGGGCCTTGGACATTTGTTTTAACTTAACTTTATCAACTTGACATCCGGGGCTTTTTAAAGGTATTTTATGACGTCGTAAAAGCTCTTCGTTTACAATCCATGGACCAGTAAAATTTGGTCCATAACGCGTTATGTGCCCCCTTGTACCATTATTTATGTGTTCAAATAAATAAATAAACGTATAATCCTTACCAATGTAGTATTATAACTTGTCACCGCCGGTTAGAGATCAGTGACTTATCGATCGAATCAATGACGCGTAAAACACGTGCGAGCAGCCTAGAGTTCTGATTGGTCCTGCTTTCCACCTAGCCCAGCCAGTTGAGTCCAGAACACCAATCTCAGCCTCTGCAATATGAATCATGTATTTCAAACATACTCTGTTTATATACCAATCAAACAGACCATATCGTACCATAAAATAGAAAATAACATTTGTAAAAGATTTAGCCGAATGTGGCTGTGAATGTGAGAGGTAGTGATTAATATACAGGGTATAATTCAAGAATGGAAAGTCGTATAATAAAAGTTTGCAGGTTAAAATTATATTTATGATAACAGAGACATGAATATGAATAGTTTATTTAATTAACAATTATACGATAAAAATATACATATAGTATTGGTCCACAAATGGATCCCACAAATTACAATTCACTATGCTTATCGGGACTTAATAGTTAGATGAGTGTTAGGAGCATCAAAAACAATCAGGCTCTGAAGTTATCGACTGTTGAACTGAATCGCGTTAGTATTTTATTTTATTTGTTATTAACTGAACACATAAATATTGGTAAAAGGGGCGCCAAATATATATGTGCCACACAAAACAATGAGAATTTAAAGAGAAGGGAAAAAAGGTAAGGAGCGTAGGGAATAAAAAAACAAGAGAACAATAACAACCAGATTACTGTGAGGTAGTGTAATAGTAATAACAATGTGGGGAACGAAAAGGTAAAATCAGAAGTAATCTTTCAGTTAAGGAAGAAGCAACCACTTTCTATGAAGAAAGTAAAAGAAGTTACAGCAGGATCGCCACTGGCTTCTATTCTGGGCCATATCTGATAACGTCTCTAGCCAATGTGTTACACCATCTCTCGGACCCCAGCCAGAGAGTCGTGAAGGACCAACAGAAGCTAGCCCTTTGCAGCTTTCTTTTATACCACGACACCATGTCATATACTGACCACCTCTCCGCTTTTTCCAACCTGTCCCAGAGTCGGCAAATAATGCACTACGTGGAATTCTCTGGGACGACATTCATAGAACATGTCCAAGACACCGAAGTCGATGTTTCAAGATGGTGACACCAATTGCATTATCGTCTCTGTGCCCGAACACACGATGTCGAACCTCTGCATTGCTCACATGAGGTTGCCACTGAATGTCAGCAATCCTTCAGAGGTAACGATGATGGAACACAGGGAGTCGTCTAACATCCTCAACTCGGAGAGGCCAGCTTTCACAAGTATAGAGCAGAACTTCTCCCATTGAAGCGTTGTAGATCTGACATTTTACAGCCAGACTGACATCGCAAAGGCGGCTAAGATGGCCTAGATTGGATAAAGCCGCTCTAGCTTTCACTATACATGCACTGATCTCATCACTCACGCCACCACCTGCACTTATGCAGCTACCTAGATACACGAACTTCTCGACTACTTCTATCTGCTCGCCATCCAGAGTGAGTACAGGATTAGAATCCTGCCAGTCTTGTAGAAGTACTTTGCACTTCGAAGGTGCAAAGCACATACCATACCTACGGACACCGATTGCCAACTGATGAAGTGCGGATTGCATGGCTTGGGCATTATCGCACAGTAAGACAATATCGCCCGCATACTCAAGGTCGAGAAGTCTTTCTCCAGGCAACAGATCCACACCACCATTACTTACATCCATCAGAGCTGTTTCCAGAATGTTATCGATGGCAAAGTTGAAGAGGAATGGTGAGATTGGGCAACCCTGTCTAACCCCACTGCTTGAATGGAATAATGGAGAAAGGTGGTTGTATGCCCTCACTCTGCCTGAGGTGTTTGTGTATAGGGCTTTTAGGACGTTAATAAACTTCTCAGGCACACCCTTCTTCAATAGACAACCCCAGAGAACAGTTCTGTCCAACGAATAGAAGGCAGCCCTTATATCAAGAAACACTACGATTGTTGGCCTTTGATAAGTATGGCGGTGTTCTAACATTTGGCGGAGGGTGAAGATATGATCAATACATCCTCGACCAGAACGAAACCCAGCCTGCTCCTTGCGAGTCAATCTTTCTCGGATTTTGAACAACCTACGAAGTATAACGGAAGCCAATAGCTTGGACGCAGTCGAGAGTAGACTTATCCCCCAATAGTTGTTACAGGAACGACGTGAACCCTTTTTAAAGATAGGGACAACTATCGACCCATTCCATGACGTTGGTACACTCTCTAGTTTACAGACCTTTGCAAACAACGTCGTCAGTTCCTTAGCCAGAAAGTCACCACCATCTTTAAAAAGAGCCGGAGGTATGTCGTCTGGGCCTGGTGATTTGTAACGTTTCAAGAGTTGGAGTTCCTTGCGGACTTCCGCCTCATTTGGTGGATCAGTCGTCACCGGCCATGGAGGGCAGGACAGTCTGACCGATGTTGCCGGAGCAACAGGCCAGTTGAACTGCCCTTCGAGAAATTCTGCCCATCGTCCAAGACGTCGATGGATGTTAGTGATTGGCGTTCCGTCATCCTCGCAGATTGTTTCGCTCACACCAGACTTCTTGCTGCCAGTGGCTCGGATGAGCTGGAAGAGCTTCCGGTAATTACCAGATGCAGCTGCTGCTTCCAGCTCGTTAGCACGCTCCGACCACCAGGTTTCTCGGTCCTTACGCAAGCTTTGCCCGATTTCATTACGTAACATCCTTCGTCTGTGGTCAAACTCACGGTCACCCGGAGTAGACCGACGGGCTCCAATGAGTTGTAAGGAACCACAAGAAATCCAGTGCTTATAAGCGGGACGTTTCGTGAACCCACAACTGAGCCGCGTTGGTAGGTACAGCCTATCTGGTCGAGAGTCGCGCGATTACTGTAATGAATGGTTAGAGGCTGAGTAACACGGCTTACAATCATGCATAACAACGCAGATGTATCCACTTTTTGTTTTACCTAAGATCATAAAATTTAAAATAATCTTATACGTTTTCTATTTTAGAAATGCATTTTTCTTAGCTCAAACTGTCTACGCCTAACGTTTTCTGTTATCACTGATAGTGTTATTTCTGCTACTATGGCAATTACCTTGATAATTTTATGTCACTGAGCTATGGTGTTGCTAGTTGAAAAAATGGGCACATGATTTAAGCTTTACACTACCTATGACCGACTAAAAACGTCTATATATTATCGTTCTTATCCTTTAGTAAAACCATCATAAAGGCGGTCAATAAAGATATAAGTATATTCATCCGGATAGATTTACGAAAAAGATTTAAATTTATTGTAACAGTGTTCAGTATAAAATAAATCTACTGCGTTATGAAACAGAACGTGTACTCTTGAATATTTGAAATAATAAATTTCTTTTATTTAAAATAACGAAAAAAAGTATAGCAGTTATTAAAAAAGGGGAGAATGATGAACCCCATATGTATTTGCTTACTTCTGATTGACTTTTAGTCCATACTGGCTCAATTACATTGATTCGTCGGCCATTCAGATAAATAGGGGTACTAACGAAATTGCTGTATTTACGGAGAATACGTTCCAAAACATCTTCTTTAGAAAATTCGGAAGCGGAATCCTTCAGTTGAAGAACAATTTTTGTACCAGGATTAACATTTTCCGCATCACCAATTTCATATTCTCCGTTAAGACCAGAAGAAGACCAATGACTTCCAACATCCTGAGGGTTCGTATCTCTGCGACTGCGGGAATAAACATCAACCTATACAAACAGATAACAGCAAAATGTGATTTAAAAACACATATATATGTGAGAGTCAAATATAATTCATGATCAATCTATAGTTAACTGTTTTTATCAAAATAACTAGTTGATTCATAAAATTCGGGATTCATGAAAATATTACGAATTAGATAGAATAGTGTTGGTACTTGAACTAATACGTCACAGTGCCATATCTATGTAAGTAGATCAAGTGAAATCGTGAGCACTTAGTTCATAACAATGTGTGATTGGTAGGGTCAGTCAGTGAATCATAACGTAGGAGCAGGCACATATACGCATCGATCCGAGTTGCCATACCTCAATAGCACAACAAGATGAACACCGAACTCATAGGAATAGTTACTTCAATGGTAGTAATATGTAAAAGAAAGATTGTGTATAAGGATATAGTACAGAAAGAAAGAATTAGTTCGTAGAAAGAAAGATATGAAATAATTTTAATCTCATAGTTTAAGGTAAGACAAAGAGTAAATACACCTACACTATTGTGATTGATCCTCAGCCTTGTCACACAGTCTCCCACCACTGGTTACGATAGTTACGCGGACCCCAACCAAGTAGTCTGCACCTACCAACATGGCTCAAACCAGAAGTTGGTAACTTCAAGCACTAATGCCACGGTTTGATTTGACCGCCCATAACCTTCCAACTATCTCCAACATCTGTTAGTATTACGCGTCGTGGTAATCAGTGTTCAGGCATACGAAACGCGTGACCCAACCATCTCAGTCGATGAAGATTTACAACCTCATCAACTGATTTACCATCATTCCCTGATACCCTCTGTCTATTTTATTTTAACACATAGATATTGGTACAAGGAGGCACAAAATACATATGGGCCACACATACCTCATTTGATATGTGTGAGGGCTGTGATACTGCCTGGGTGCCCAAACCGAGGCAGGTGATTTTCTTAGGGGGCCACAGCCCGAGCCTTCGACCTGAAGATCTGATCCACAAGGCAGTGGAGCATCGTAAGGAGATGCAGTTCCATGGTAGCTGGTTACCAACGATTGGTTCATACTCCATTTGTTCCTTCAAGATACTGGAGCCCATGTACACCATTGGTTTGAGATCCGGTTCCCGACCGCAGCTGCTACCTTGACGTCGTGGTCGGGCTTGCCTATCGTGATGACCCAACCGAGCTATATTGGCTGGAACACATGTTCCTGCAGGTTCTACCATGCCAGGCAGGTCGGTTGGAGAACGGTAAGACTGAAAGCAGCACCTCAAGGTCTGAAGGCGAAGTCGTACTGCCGACTGTACAGAGGTGTGACAGCAGTAAGGTGTTTCCCTCGGACAACCAGCATCTGCAGCGATGCTGCCTTCTCACAAGGAAGGAAGGGGTTAGAAAAGGTTGACCCTAAAAATGTCACACCTCACCTTACCCCACGGATTTCCGTCTCCGGCGGTAAAGCCGTTTGAAGAACGGAGCTAACACATTAAAAACCTCCCACAAAAAGGCCGTGCGCGACCGGCCTCAAGCAGTTGTCCCTTGGGCTCTGCGGTCACGCAAACAGGTCGCTAAGATCAACACTAATCCGATTTCCTTTTCAGGTTCCTCAAGAAATACCCTTCCACGATGTGGGCAACTGGGAAGTGATATCATCTCTCATACACGTAACAGCACATGAGACCAAGTTGGTCACATTCAAATCCTTCCTACACCTCCTAATAACTCTCTTATTTCCACGATTAACCCTTCTTACGTCCCTTTATCACCTCGCCCCGCCAGTAAAAACGATTCGAGTACGCGGAATGTTATTCCTGGTCTCCTGAAACCACGCTCCAAACTACAAGTAGGAGCTTTCAACATCCGAACACTGTGCCAAAACAGGCTTCCTTAGCTAAGACTTTAGAATCTTGCTCCATCGATGTGTGCTGCGTCTCCGAAACGCGCACACAGGATCCTAGTAGTGTCATTCATTTGACCGCACCATGTCAAAGTAACGAACCAACTCGATTTACGCTTCGTGAATCTGGAAGCCCTGATGCTGCTTCCCGTGGCCTCGCTGGTGTAGGTATAATATTGAGTCCTAGGGCAGAACTAGCTCTCTTAGACTGGATCCCTGTAGACAGTCGTTTGTGTGCTGTCCGACTAAACGGAACAGTAAGGACTCGAAAAGTTAGGGACACTCATCGTTGCCTCTTTGTCGTCTCTGCCAACTCTCCCACTGACTGAAGCTCAGATGATGTAAAGGATGAGTTTTATAGAAAGCTTTCCGACCTTCTCCGAAAAGCTAAGCGTTCAGATGTAGTAATAGTGGTTGGCGACTTTAATACTCAAGTAGGTAAACTAAGCGAAAGGCAAAGGCACCTGGGTGGATCTTATAGTGTCGCGGCTCAAAGAACAGATAACGGCAACCGTCTGCTACAGCTACGCTCAGATAACCGCCTATTCCTTGCAAACACTAACTTTAAGCATAAGGAAGATCATATCGCTATCAGCCACCGATGGAGGGGCTCGATAGAAGACTGTCGCTCATTCTGGAGCACATGCTTAGACTCAGATCATGCTCTGGTGCGAGCGCGTATTTGTCTGCGTCTTACTGGACGTAGGAAAGATGGTACAAGGAAACCCCTTAGGGTCCTACTTAATGATAGTCAAACTAAGAATATATTTCAGGAACAACTAGAAAAACAGTTAGGCAACCACGTAAGTGATGCCCACCCCGAGGCAGCGTGGAATGACATCCGAGAAGCTGTAGAAACAGCAGTGATGTCTGCAAGTACGGTAAACCATAAGGTTAGGGAGAAACACTGGATCTCAGCAGCATCTACCGCACTGATAGATGCTCGTAAACTCATTCCATCTGGCTCTGAACATAACGAAGAGTGGAGTCAGCTTAAGCGTAAGCTGACTAGAAGCCTGAGCAAAGATCGTGAACAGTGGTGGGTAGCGAAAGCTAGAGAGATGGAAAAGGCAGCGGCAATAGGTAACAGTAGGCAACTGTTCAGACTTGTTAAGAAAACCGGTATTAGGAACCCAACTGTTAGCGAAACAATCTCAGAGAAAGATGTACATATTATTCATTTTCAATCCAGGAAATTGGATCGATGGGCAGAACACTTTAGGGATCAGTTCAACTGGCCTTCAGTCACACTACGGTTTCCCACGACCTCCAGTCGACCTGAGTGGCAAATTAATGTAAGTTCTCCGACTCTTTACGAAGTTGAAAAAGCTATAGGAAATCTTAGGCGTGGGGGAGCAGCAGGCCCTGACAGGTTTACTCCTGAGATTTTTAAGGATGATGGTCCAGTATTAGCAGCGAGATTGACCGAGGTCTTAGGTAGAATCTGGGAACTGAACGTAATCCCATCTGACTGGTCTCAATCACTGATTGTGCCAGTTTATAAGAAAGGACAAAAGTCTTCTTGTGACAATCACAGAGGAATTAGTTTGACTAATATAGTGTCTAAAACATTAGCTTCAATAATACTTCGACGTCTAACCAAAGCTCGTGAAATGCAGACTAGAGAAAACCTGGCTGGTTTCCGACCTGGACGTGGTTGTATAGATCAAATATTCACACTACTTCAGGTCCTAGAACATAGACACACATTCAGATGCCCCACAACCGTAGTATTTCTCGACCTTAAGGCGGCATTTGACTCTGTTGATCGAGAGGTTCTATGGCAGTGTTTGTCACTGAAAGGAGTACCAAAAAAGTACATTAACTTTATAAAGGCTCTCTAGGTGCGTGTTCTAAATGCGGCTCACCAATTTGTGGAGGTTAACCAAGTTTGTTGAGATAAATTTCCTCTATATTCGACTCCAATAAAAGATATCTCATTAACTGAGTATTTAATGCAGGCTTTATCTCCTAGTAGAATTATCGATTTACACGAGATCATTCAAAAGCCTAAATATCAGTTATAGAGACAGTTAAAGCTTGGTAAAATCCACAAGCATACAGCAAGCAAGCACCGAGTGAGACAAAAATCAAAGTGTGTGTGTCTGTGTTAAAAATCCATATATTTTTTTGAGCATTGATCAAGTGTAGATAAATTATTGATTATCTATGTGCCTCAACCAATGGGAAAATAGAATAGGGATTAAAGTGCAGACACACATACTCATATGGAAATTAACACAGTGGGGTAGACAAATAATACATTAGTGGAATGGGTTTGCTACAGACTACTTGGTTGGGGACAGCGAGATGATAGCAATCGATGGTTAGAGACCTTGAATGACTTGGCTGAAAATCATCTGCAATAACGCAGGTGCATCCACTCTCTGTGTTCTCTCAAACTCTAATCTTCTGAATTCTTCACGTTCTTTATTTTCTTTCCAAATCTATTCCACTGGACTGTACTCCTTAAATAACATCATCAAAACTTAATTTTCCCTATCACTACTTATACTTTTAGTACCTCTACAACTACGGGATTTGAATCGATAACTGAATCTCTGTGCTAATGTGGTATGGCAACTCGAACTGATGTACGTACGTACGAAGTTCCACGTTGTTACTGACTGACTGAGATCCGGTTAAAGCGCCAGATATTCGCTTTTCGTCCCCTCATTTTCGTAAACAACATCCCCGCCACGAGAAGGCAGTGAGTAGGACTTCCCTGGCAGAGGCTATGTAAGCGTGGTCATGTGAAAGCATTTCGAGAGGGAGAGTGGACTCTCTCCACTCTCGGCCGTACCAGGGCATTTAGGGGCATCCTGTGTCTAACCTCACCATTACTTACCCGGTGATCCCAGCAAATGCCAGCAATATTCCCAAGACATCTGTGATCAATTACTAGTAGTTTACGACTTTCTACACTTAATGACTACGTTTCGTAGCCATAAAGTAGAACAGAACGAATCTATTTATTCTAACTATTTGAACACATAAATATTGGTAAAAGGGGCGCCAAATATATATGTGCCACACAAAACAATGAGAATTTAAAGAGAAGGGAAAAAAGGTAAGGAGCGTAGGGAATAAAAAAACAAGAGAACAATAACAACCAGATTACTGTGAGGTAGTGTGATAGTAGTAATAATGGGGGAAACGAAAATGTACAATCAGAAGAAATCCTTCAGTTAAGGAGGATACAACCAATTTATCTGAAGAAAGTAAAAGGTTACAGCAGGATCGCCACTGGCACATACCATACCTACGGACACCGATTGCCAACTGATGAAGTGCGGATTGCATGGCTTGGGCATTATCGCACAGTAAGACAATATCGCCCGCATACTCAAGGTCGAGAAGTCTTTCTCCAGGCAACAGATCCACACCACCATTACTTACATCCATCAGAGCTGTTTCCAGAATGTTATCGATGGCAAAGTTGAAGAGGAATGGTGAGATTGGGCAACCCTGTCTAACCCCACTGCTTGAATGGAATAATGGAGAAAGGTGGTTGTATGCCCTCACTCTGCCTGAGGTGTTTGTGTATAGGGCTTTTAGGACGTTAATAAACTTCTCAGGCACACCCTTCTTCAATAGACAACCCCAGAGAACAGTTCTGTCCAACGAATAGAAGGCAGCCCTTATATCAAGAAACACTACGATTGTTGGCCTTTGATAAGTATGGCGGTGTTCTAACATTTGGCGGAGGGTGAAGATATGATCAATACATCCTCGACCAGAACGAAACCCAGCCTGCTCCTTATGAGTCAATCTTTCTCAGGTTTTGAACAACCTACGAAGTATAACGGAAGCCAATAGCTTGGACGCAGTCGAGAGTAGACTTATCCCCCAATAGTTGTTACAGGAACGACGTGAACCCTTTTTAAAGATAGGGACAACTATCGACCCATTCCATGACGTTGGTACACTCTCTAGTTTACAGACCTTTGCAAACAACGTCGTCAGTTCCTTAGCCAGAAAGTCACCACCATCTTTAAAAAGAGCCGGAGGTATGTCGTCTGGGCCTGGTGATTTGTAACGTTTCAAGAGTTGGAGTTCCTTGCGGACTTCCGCCTCATTTGGTGGATCAGTCGTCACCGGCCATGGAGGGCAGGACAGTCTGACCGATGTTGCCGGAGCAGCAGGCCAGTTGAACTGCCCTTCGAAAAATTCTGCCCATCGTCCAAGACGTCGATGGATGTTAGTGATTGGCGTTCCGTCATCCTCGCAGATTGTTTCGCTCACACCAGACTTCTTGCTGCCAGTGGCTTGGATGAGCTGGAAGAGCTTCCGGTAATTACCAGATGCAGCTGCTGCTTCCAGCTCGTTAGCACGCTCCGACCACCAGGTTTCTCGGTCCTTACGCAAGCTTTGCCCGATTTCATTACGTAACATCCTTCGTCTGTGGTCAAACTCACGGTCACCCGGAGTAGACCGACGGGCTCCAATGAGTTGTAAGGAACCACAAGAAATCCAGTGCTTATAAGCGGGACGTTTCGTGAACCCACAACTGAGCCGCGTTGGTAGGTACAGCCTATCTGGTCGAGAGTCGCGCGATTACTGTAATGAATGGTTAGAGGCTGAGTAACACGGCTTACAATCATGCATAACAACGCAGATGTATCCACTTTTTGTTTTACCTAAGATCATAAAATTTAAAATAATCTTATACGTTTTCTATTTTAGAAATGCATTTTTCTTAGCTCAAACTGTCTACGCCTAACGTTGTGATCAATCTGAGTCCAGGCTTGAGATGCAGAAGGGGGACGCCAGGTTGAACATCGGCGATGACTGTGCCGAAAGTTAGTGCTAGCCAGAAACAGGTTGTGGTCTGTGCGTAGCTGCAGTAGACGTTCCCCGTTATCTGTCCTGCGACCAACAAGTCCCCATCGGCCACCTAAACGATTCTCTTCTGTGCCTAGACACCCGACCTGAGCATTCAAGCCTCCGGCTAGTACTACAATAGACATAGCCAGCCTTATCTGTTGTCCGACCTGCATAAGTGTGCGAACGTTAAAGGCAGCCAGTTTGAATGGTGCACGTGGTTTCAGAAAAACTGCTTCAGTACTCTTATTCGATGGTGACATACAATTTTCAACCATAGGCGAGCTGCTGCATAAGTCGAAAAATAAGGATAGACAGAGTGGAAATAAAATAGAGTGAATAAACGACGTGGTAAATAATAATAGTAATAACAATAACAATAATAATAATGATGATAATAATAATGTGAATTGTCTGACGGTAAATCGCGGCGTGAATAGAGTTTTCAGAGGACATCATCGTTTTCATTATATTTGTGTGTGGACTGTGATACTGCTCGGGTGTCCAGACCGAAGCAGGTGGTTTTCGTAGGGGGCCACACCCCGAGCCTTTCACCTAAAGGTCTAACCCACAAGGCAATGGGGCATCGTAAGGAGATGCAGTCCCATGGAAGCCGGTGACCAAGAAATTTGTTAATACGCCATTTGTTCCCGGAGGATACTGGAGCCCATGTGCACCATTGATTTGGGATCCGGATATAGCGCCTGACGTTCGCTTTCGTCCTCTCATCTTCGTAAACAACACCCCCGCCACGAGAAGGCAGTGAGTAGGACTTCCCTGGCAGAGGCTGTATACGCGTGGCCATGTGACAGCATTTCGAGAGGGAGAGTGGACTCTCCCCACTCTCGGCCGTACCAGGGTATTTGGGGGCCGCGCAGTATACCCATCCTTTTCTTGATAGTCGGATATCTCGCCTTCACCATAGGTGAAGTAACTTGGCAAAAGCCGAACTAGCCCATGATCTTGCACAACCCTTCATATTGTCTGATGTGGATAACTGTTTTACATCCGACATCGACTGGACTTCATTGGTCACGGATTCTAACAGGAACTTCGGGAAACCCATATTGAAGTTAGTCACTAGTGAGCACATGATTATTTTTAGTATGGGGATTTGTGTAGATTGTAGTATTATCAAGTTGAACACACGAGCCGGTTGCACAATTGTGAACTCCCATACCAGAACAGAACGACCGTCCAGTGCTATCGGGTTTTTAATGGTGCTCAAGCTTAACACAAATGATATTTTTATTAGGCATGATGAAAATCCTAAACATAGTCTTTTACAGTAACGTAAATTCATATCAAATTTAATAAACTTGCAGTGCACAGTCACAGAGAAATCACTCTATAGTTTTAATAACATTAAAAGGCATTAAGGCAGGATAATATACCAAGCTTATATTCATAACAACGCTGCGGTTGTCTCAAACATGAAATAGTCGATCCTTTAATTAATTCACAAGTTCTGATAGAATACCATTTTCGATCTCAAACGACAGGAAAAAGTCGTAATCATGTATACAAATGTGTAAAACACTTTTTAGTTAAGCTGTAAGTGTAATAACAACTAATATCTCCCATTTGATTAAGAAAGAAATTGAATTACTAACCATCTTGTATGAGGTATGTCAGAAACAATAATTAAAAGCTACAACTTAAATGAATAGAACATCGATTACCTTATCAGCTACCATAAAACAAGAGTAAAAACCAACTCCGAATTGACCAATAATATCCACAGATTTTTGGCTGTCCTTATTACCAGTCATACTAGAAACAAACTCTCGACTCCCGGAATGGGCTATAGTTCCAAGATTTTTTTCCAACTCAGTTTTAGACATCCCAATTCCTGTATCCTGAATGACGAGAATTTTCTTCGCTTCATCTGTCCTGATGTGTATTTCTAAAGGTTCATCACTTAAAGTGAGTGAAACTTGGCCAGAAAGGCGTTGAAATCTCAGACGCTCGATAGCATCACTTGCATTTGATATTAACTCACGAACGAACACCTGAATAAAGATACAAAAAAAGTAAAACATATTTTTTGATAGTTTTAATTACAGAACTTTAAAGAATTAAGTTGGTATCAAAGAGAGGTTTAAAGGTGAATTCACCATGAAACTTAATCGATATTTTTTTGAGATTAACTAAGTAATAAATTTTTCACAATCAAATTAGTCTCAAAGACGCCGTAGGAACATAAATCATGGTTTTTTCTTATAAATCTTAGATTTTCTAGAGATGTATTCGATAAGTTAGTGTACACACACCTGCGCGCTCAATTAAAAGCAGTCAATATTGATAAGCGACTAATTAACAAGGTCAGAATGTGAATCAATTAGAATGAGTAGAGTGAGCTGTCCGAAAGCTAGAATAAGGTATTTGGGTTTAACATAATAACAGACGCCGCAATGTGTTTACTTTTCATTACTAAACACATACTTGTGTAACAATTCTAAAATTAATTTTTGATTAAACTTGTTTACTAAACAAATGTTTGTTCTCGGCTTGCAGTCAGTGTTTAGGTGAGTGATACAACTCGACTACCCTATCAAAGTAGACAGTATCTGGAATAGGATGGTTATTGTTAGCTGGACATAGATTGGATTAAAGCATGCTCAATGTCAATACTTAGAGAACACTCTAGAAATCTCATGTAAAAAATATAAATATACTAACGTTTTTTCTATTGTGTTTCTTACTTCCATCTAACATTGTTATTTGGAATATAATCCCTTTCCCTATCAACCGTGTCCTGATTTGGGGACTTGTCGAGCGAATTGGTGTCAGAGAATACTAAGCAATAGGAATAGCTCGGTTGTAATAATAAGAGAAAATTATAACATTGATCTATTTAAAATCAATCAGTAATGTAAACCTTGAGAAAGCATACAAATATTCTCTAGTGGCACCTGAAAATGCTGCAAAGTAGTAAATATCTGAGCAATATATCCAGATAGCATAAGAAACTTATACATTGGTGAAGAACAAACCCTATGTATTTGAGAGAAAACACGACGAAGTAATTTATAGGTTATATGCTTCCCTTTGTAGAACTGAGCATAGAATAGTAAGAACCAGGATAATTTCGTTCAAATGACAAGATTATACATTTGGAACCATCTAGAGACTTGGAAACTTTTAATTGATAATTTGCACAAGCAGAGATATGTTACGTATTATCCGAAATGAGTTTGTTGATATAAAATTATTTGTAACTCATTTATTTTATATGAACACTCATCAAAATGTAAACAAAGTTTGACGAGAATTTTGGTCCCTAGTATGTAAAAGATATTATATATAAAAAGTATGTGAATAATCTCAGAAATCAGAATTTAAAAGTTTTGTTCAACAAGCCGGTTTAAGGTTCGGGGAGATAAAAGGGATCAAAATAAACTTTTATCCTACAGACCGCTCCATCTATTTCAATTGGGCAACCGGGCAGTAGCACTAACCCTCACACCTATGATGTGGCTCGAAACCAAGTACACAAATATGTACATCGTAACTGATTTACAGAACTCTAAGGAGTCGTGATGAACAAACAGATTTGAGTTACATACACCTCCTTTTAATTCCCCGGCATCATGTCATGAACTAACCGCCTCTATACTTTTACCAACCAGTCCTAGAGTTGACAAATAATGAACGGTTAGACACACTAGGATGATATATATAACAGGTGTACGAGCAATAAAAATCAGTGTTTTAAAGCAATAACACCAGGTGAATTTTTGTCACTGTGCCTAACCACACACTGCTGAGCATCAGCATTACCAACATGGTGTAGCCACTTATTTATTTGAACACCTAAAAACTGGTACAGGGGAGCACCACATAATTCACTTGATTTGTATCTGGTCTGTGATACTGCCTAGGTATTCAGACCGAAGCAGGTGATTTTCTTAGGGGACCACACCCGGAGCCTTTGACCTAAGGGTCTGATCCACAAAGTAATGGAGCATCGTAAGGAGATGCAGTCCCATGGTAGCCGGTTACCAACGATTGGTTCATACTCCATTTGTTCCTTCGGGATGCTGGGGCCTATGTGCACCTTTGGTTTGGAAACAGGGTTTTCCAACTCACCTAGGTGGACTCTCCATGTCCATCAACACGGTTAAAGTGCCGGACATTCGCTTTTCGTCCTCTCAATTTCGTAAACAACAGCGGTGCTGCGAGAAGGCAGTGAGTAGGACTTCCCTGGCAGAGTCTATATACTCGTGACTATGTGAGAGCATTTCGAAAAGGGAGGCGGACTCTCTCCACTCTCGGCCGTACCAGGGCATTTGGGGTCACTAGATGACCACAATCTTTCTGAGACTATGATGATCAAACAGAGTTACTGAATATCCTCAACTCAGAGGTTTGACAAGCATAAAGCAGAACTGCTCTCACCAATGTGTTGTACACTAAAACGAAGATAAAACACACGGCGTGATGAGTCCAAGAAGGCCCCAGATTAGCATGGGTCGTTCTGGTTATCACTATTTGCAGATTCACCTTATTTGCTGTCACTACTAGAACTAAAAGCTACTCAAACACATGAACCGTTTAATGACTAACGGCTAGTCACAAGTGACTCCAATCACACTCGATTTTGTTTCACATAATGTGGTGATATATGAAGTGCTACAAATTGTATCTAAATTATATATCCAGTTGCTATTCATGACAACAACGAAACAATCATAAACGAAACGCAGTCTTTTATTAATTTGCTATATGTATTCTCTAAAAAATAATGTAGCGACTGAAATGTACTAAATTATTTTATCTTATTTGAACACATAAATATTGGTACGAGGGCACCAAATATATATGCGCCACACAATGTACTAAATACTAGCTTAAGAAAGTGATGACAATGTTAGAGAAATCGGTATTTAACTGTTCGTTAGCAGGTTCAAATTCCATCTCATCTCTTCACTAGTTCTTATCCAAAATGTAGCTCAAACCAGAGTATATAAACCTACATTTGGTTAAGGAGTTATACTAAGTCGAAAATTCTTGAAAAGCCTGGAACAACTTGAAAAATTGGTATGTAATCATTAACATACTATTATATTTACCACTAACCTCTTTGTCTGAGTATAAAGATTTAGCGACAATATCCAGTAACTTTTGTGTTTCAGCTTGAAATCCTACTTTTATTTTTGGACCACAACTCCGTTCATTATCATCAATGATGGTGTGCTTAGGACCTTCATCTTCAACAGTCTTGAAGTTTGTACTGTATGACAAAGATTCCTGCCGAAGCAATTTAGCATTGCATAATGTCCTGACGTCTTGCTTAAAACTCAAATAGAAAGAAGGAAAGCGACCCAAAATTCTGCAAAGTGATAACATGTAAGCTTTCCACAAATATCCAGTGTATTAAAGAGATCTGAAATAATAAAGGTTTTTTATAAGCTATGAATACAATTTCTGTTATGACGACAAAGCTAAAGTAAAAAAACGAATGGATTACAATCGAGGCGATGTCGGTGTTATAACGCCTACACTAAACAAGGATGCTGATTACAGAGCGCAATAGGAAAATTTAGTAGGGGAAGTATAAAATACTCCCAAAAAAGTTGAACTGATCAGGAAAACACTTAGCTGTGAAACCAATCAGCAAGTGAATACGAACATATATAAACACAAACTGTGTGAACGGACATTTCACGCTATTCTTTGACAGATCTGAATTAGATTTTCAGGTATTAGCATGTGTAATGTAAGTCAGTATTAGTGTAAGAAATTATTTTGAAGCTGTATCTCAGTCCTAACAACAGACCCAATTTCAACATCAAAATATAACGGTTGTTAGTTTAAGGGCAACTTAGAAAGCATACTAACAACGTGGGAGTAATGAATTTCCGTCGAATTCTTCTGTTCTTCATTATAAACCATTCGTTAGAACTTGATAACGCCACTATGACATTATCAAGTTCATAATAAAGCCACAATCCACCATAAGTCCTTATCTAATTCCCCTTTTTTTAACTGTAGTACGAAACTTTAAAACGACGCTGGACAACAAAAACGGATGAGAAATTGAGGTAAGCTCCCCAACCTTCTTAGTCAGAGAAAAATTGTACATTCTCACGGATTTTCAAGAATTTTGGGTTCTTGCCAATATTTTTTACAATATCATAGCACTTTGGAAAAATCTGGCTATATTCATTGACGCCGAAATCTGACCTATGGGTCAAATATTCAAAACGTGATCGAAAATAAAATATACTTTTCAGCGCAAAACCCTACTGGAAGGACGGTAAACTGATTCAGAATTGACGGAGTTTTATGAGATAATCAGCCAGGACAGGCTAACCGCGTGAATTACACATGTAGTACAATTTATGCTCTAATTAAAGCAACTTATGTTGCTCACTAATGAGTTGTGAATATCATTAGGCAATACGAAACTATGTAAACTAGGAAAGAAGATCGACCCAAACTGTTGTGGAAACGAGTAAGTTGAGAAATCAACACCTCAACCTCTGATACAATCAGTGAAGTAAAAGATGACCTTGCAGCCGTTACTGCATAGATCAATAAAACACAATGATTTTGCGTTGCTTATAATTTTTTAAACTACTAACGATGCAGATGTGACAGAATTAGTGCAAAACAGTATTATAATCGAATACAAATCCATAAACTCGACACAACAGAAATTTCAGAAAACTACATATTTTCAGGAGTGCCTTGTGGAGATAGGTCTGTCAAACTTATTTTTGTAAATAATTTTTATTATTATTTGTATTCATTTTGTCAACCTTTCACTGTGTGTACATTTATTATTAAATCATTGTACCTGTTGTTTTAGTAAATGACCTTGATCACTTTTTCCGTTGTGATACTAACATAGCGCGACACTTTCTGTGATTGTCCCAAATACACTACTACACACATGTCTCTCGTTCTAAATTCACTTGCATTTGTGTTAACTGAAGTCTAAAGCAAGTACCATTTATCTTTACAGACGATAATTGGAATATACCATATTTATTACTTAATCATATCATTGGGGAACCCATCACACTCGCAGGAATTATTAATCATCTATAATTGTGGATATTTAACACCAGATCAAATTGGAACACGCGATCTCCTGGTAAAATAAGGAACGTTCCTTATTTCTATTGTGTTTATGACATTTAACTTATATATCTTTAAATATTGCTATTTGTTATAAATAACTATTATTACCTTTTGGATTAATATATTATCTGGTCCACCACAATTATTTGGTGAGCCTAGAGTGTATTTTAGTTTTATTGTTTATATTTCTACTTGAAACACTATTTTTTTTATATCATGAACTCTCCAAATAAACTTATAGATATGGAATGTCCCCCAGTGAAACCCCTTGATTCATTACATACAGAAAATAATATTTTAAGTTCCGTGAATGCCATTACTGAGTTACGATTACCAACATACGGCGCCAACAATCCTAGAATCTGGTTCGCCCAAGTAGAGGCCTTGTTTTTAGCTAGGGGCATACGTTCCCAAGCAGCTAAATATGCCCATGTTGTTGGCGCTCTACCGATAGAAATCGCTACAGAAGTCGGGGATCTAATTGACCATGTACCAGAAACAGATCCTTATGAAAAAATCAAAGCAGCAGTGATTCAGCGCACGTCTGTATCAGACGAGAAACGATTACAAATATTACTAACTTCCTGTGACTTGGGAGACAAGAGACCCTCCCAACTTCTTCGTCACATGAAACAACTCGCTGGTCCATACAACCTGGACGAAACCCTCCTAAAACAAATGTGGTTGCAAAGATTACCACATAATGTGAGACAAATCCTTAGCGTCTCAGGGCGATCTGTCACTCTCGAGGATTTAGCCGACATGGCGGACAAGATGATGGAGATCTACCCCGACAGGCACTGTCTAAACGAGATACAAACCTCTGGTAATGGAGATACGAACACAACACTTAACATTCAGCAACAATTGACACAGTTAACAACCCAGTTAGCGTCATTACAGGCCACTATTGCGAGTATTCATTCTCGACCTAACAGATCTATTTCTAGAGAAAGAGCAGGTTCAAGACATCGTTCAAGGTCTCCCAAGAAGACAGTCGGTATTTGTTGGTATCACCAAAAATATGGCACCAAAGCACGGCGTTGCACAAGACCGTGCACATTTTCCGCGGCTGACTCAGAGAATCAGGGAAACGAACTGGCCAGACAGTAGTGGCGGCGACTGTTTCTGGCCACACAACGAGCCGTCTATTTCATGTCAGGGACCGAATTTCGGGCTCAGATTTTTTGGTCGATACAGGGGCCGAAATCAGCATTATCCCATTGCACCTCTCTAAACGACGGCACTCTCCAAGCAACAAATTATCCCTAGTTGCGGCCAATAACACAACCATTAAAACTTATGGAGATCAATCACTTATCCTAGACCTCGGTCTCCGCAGACGTTTCACGTGGGTTTTCATTGTAGCTGAAATTAAGCAACCCATTCTCGGAGCCGACTTCCTAAGTTCCTACAAATTATTAGTAGATATGAACAACAAGAGGTTGATTGACCGATGCACACGTTTACAAGTAAATGGTACGCTTGCTACTGACTATGAGATTTACGGTGTTCATATAGTAAAACCGGAAAACAAACTTTTCACCGACATTCTGAAGGAATACGAATGTATCACAAAAGTAAATTATCAGACGGAACCCACAGCACACCACGTACAGCATCATATCATCACTACGGGACCACCCATTAGTGCTAAAGCAAGGAGACTTCCACCACACAAGTTACAGATTGCTAAAAGAGAATTTGAACATATGATGCAACTCGGAATAATTAGACAATCAAACAGTCCTTGGGCTTCGCCGCTGCACATGGTTCCAAAGAAGGACCAAGATTGGCGACCATGCGGAGACTACCGAAGATTAAATAATCAAACTATCCCGGATAGGTACCCCATACCACATATACACGACTTCTCCTTAAATCTACATGGTAAACAATTTTTTTCGAAACTTGACTTAGTAAAAGCCTATCATCAAATTCCAATGGCGCCCGAAGACATTGAAAAAACAGCCGTAATCACTCCTTTTGGTCTGTTTGAATTTTTGAGGATGCCATTCGGGCTAAAAAACGCCGCACAAACGTTTCAGAGGTTTATGGACGAAGTTACACGAGGATTAGACTTTGTATTCGCCTATATCGACGATGTTTTAATCGCTAGTTCATCACTCGAAGAGCATATCCAACACTTACAGATCCTCTTCGAACGTTTCAAAAAACACGGTGTTGTTATTAATCCTGCTAAATGTATATTCGGTGTTCCAGCCTTAGAGTTTTTAGGACACTACATCAACTCCCAAGGTATTAAACCTCTCCCAGAGAAAGTCGAAGGCATCATTAGCTATCCAGAACCAACCTCTGTAAAATCACTACGACGTTTCCTTGGGACATGCAACTTTTATCGACGATTCCTACCGCATTGCGCTGAAGTACTACAACCGTTAACTGATTTACTGAAAAGCGATAAAGCAGGCACCAAGAAAGAAAAGAACCAAATGTTCAAATTACCTCCTGATGCCAAAGCAGCATTTGAAAAAGCTAAATCTATGATAGCCGATGCCACCATGTTACAACATCTAAACACCGACCCCACAACGCATCTCATCCTCTGCACCGACGCCTCCCAAAAAGCAGTAGGAGCAGTATTACAGCAGCGCGTGAACAACAACATTACTCCTATAGCGTTCTTTTCCAAACGATTATCGCCAACCCAAGAACGTTATAGCACTTTTGGACGTGAACTTTTAGCTATGTATCTAGCCGTCAAACATTTCAACTTCCTGCTACAGGGTCGTGATTTCACTGTTATGACTGATCACAAACCCCTTTGCTACTCCTTTAGCACTTCGTATGATAAGCATTCTCCTCGGGAAGCCAGACAACTGGATTATATTTCTCAATTTACTACAGACATCCAGTTTATCAAAGGCTCTTCCAACATTGTCGCTGATGCTCTATCTAGAAAGGACATTAACACGATAGTACACAACGACATCAGTCTCGAAACTTTAGCTAAACTCCAAGTAGACGATGCAGAATTAAAAGCCTGCCAAGAGAAGTCTAACTTGAATCTTAAACCAATACCCATGCCTTTCTCAGATACTTTCATCATGTGCGACACCTCAACAGGCAACAACCGCCCTTTCGTCCCATACGCTTGCCGACGAGAAATATTCCGACACTTACACGGTCTTTCACATCCAGGAATCCGAGCCACAACTAAACTGATTACCGAACGTTTCGTGTGGCCAAAGATTAACTCAGATATAAAACGATGGACTCGAAGCTGCCTACAATGTCAA